TGAAAAATGTATTATTAAGTTTGGAACAGCTTAACCTTAAGACTATTAAATAAATCACAAGCTACTTTTTCGTAATTAAATCACAATAAGATCACAAATCATTAATTTTCATAATAAAAAACAAAAAGATCACAAACCGCAACTATTTTCACAATATATCAAAATAATGTCACAAACCACTACCTTTTCATAATTAACACAAAAAGTTCACAAAAACCATTTTCAAAAAAGATGTAATAAAAGCATTAAATTTAATAATGCAAAGTTACTAGTACTATAAAATTAATATTTTCTTATTTTTTCTATGTGTAATCTTGAATAAATCCAATTTATTAATTAATTTTGTATCTAAATCTAAATGTGTAATTTCTAATAATTTGATATTATGTAAAGATTATTATTATTAAATTTTTTCAACAACAAATATATTATGTTTATATCTCCATTTTATTGATTATTTTGAATCTCTATTTTATGATTTTAAAAAATTTTACAGCTTTTAAAATCTAAGACAAATAGTAGACAAATAATATTGTAAAGGGTAATTGAGAAATATTTTTTAATTATTTATGTTAATTTTATTTTGTTAAATTTTTATGTTAAAATCAATTTATTGATATTTTTGCATGAATTATGAAAAGGTAGAGCATTGTGATATTTTTTGTGATAATAATGTATTGATTTATGATCTTTTTGTGATGTGGAGCGACTGCGCTAGGGCATACATAGACATACTATTATACTAATTACACACTACGACATTTATGGAAATCATATTATTATAGAGATTATATTAAAAAACAGAATAGTATTTGTAACGTGGTCGGTGTACATAATTACGTGATATAAATCATCCAAGAATTTATTATACTATTTCGTATGGATATTAGATACGTTTTCTATTTGACGGTTTGAGCTACTCTTTAAATTGGTGTTTATCAATAGGAAGTCAAATATGGTGTACAACTCTAAAATCACAACATCATTTGTGTTAGTATTTTGATTTCCAATATCTGATAATGAGCAATAACTGGTTTTATTTTATTAATAAAGAACGAACAAATTATTTGGTGAAGAATATACAACTATAGTATATGGCTTGAATTAAAAATCAACTTAAAAAAATTGTATTGTGTATGAATAATAATAATGTACATAATAGGTAGACTGTTTCAAATCTTTACTATTCATATTATAATAATATATTATGTGTTTATATTATACAAGATCCCTGAATTCAATTGAGTAAAAATCAATATTTTTGTTTGAAACTTTAATTTTATCAACATTTGAAACATAAAGTTTTAACAAAAAAAGTAAAATAGGGGAACGTTCACGATATTTAGTAGTTACAAAATATAAATATTGAATATGTATGGTGCAATTATAACAACTTAATGTTAATTAAAAATATTGTTTAATAGTATTCAATAGTGAAGATAACTTTAAAGATTATAGTCGCATATTAACACAGTTTTTAATTAACGGCGTGCGTTGTGTGGTGATAGTATGTACGTTCATGTATAGTATAGTATACAAATGTATGTATGTATAGTAATGTATGTATAGTATACAAATGGTACATGTATAGGAATTTAATAATGCTGACGACTGCAAATAATGATAAGAATAGATTAGCTGGTCTCATGTTGTATTGAACGGCAGTTCTTTTCGGACACTGATCAGTGTGATCCTTACTTCGAGTAGCTACAAGACGGTCTAGATTGTAAGTACTTATGCAACTATTATTTATTAAATAATATAATAATATATTATAGGAACATTGAACAATAACATTTACTGATTTAAAGATCCTTATAACTACCCTTGGGTATGGTTATTAATTATTATACCCATAGCAGTAGGTATAACCTATAGTGTCCGACCACTCTCCCTGGAGTTCTTATATTTAACTGGTTACGTTACCCCTTGACCATCTTACATTATATTTATTATTCATACAATATTTTATAATATAGTTAGGTGAATATCGTAAAAATTATTATTTTAATAAATAAAAAAATGTTGTACAAAATATAAATATTGGATTTAGTTTGGTTGATATAAATGTATCGTAAACATATAAAATAATGCACAATAATAGGTACATCGATATATCATTAGAGTGGAACGAGATACTGTTTAAATGACATCAGCTTCTAGATTCTGGATTATACGTTAAATACTTAATAGTCATTACTCATTAGGCTCAGGGCTAGACATTATTTTACTATATTATCTTAGCAGGCATCGAAATAACGTCCCAATCGTAAGTCAATTATTTTTTGATTAAATATAAAAATAAAAGTTATGATTAATTTAGAATATGAATTTTTTGATTAATATTAATTTTTATATGAATGTCGATAAAAAAAATTTTGCTCAAAAAATTGTTGAAAAACATGTATAATACAACCTCGTAAGAAGTTGTTGTTATCTAGTGGCTACTAAAAAAATTTACAGTAATATTGTATGAGCGTTTTTAGTATGAATTTTGATAAAATTCGTAAAAATCACGAACATTTGCAAATTATTTTGAGATAAGTTCATACAAAATTCTTTGTTTATATCAAAGATTTGGAAATTTTATACAATTTTCTTCGTGTGACATTATATTCAGTATTCTTTACTGTATTCTTCTTTATAGCTTTGTGTAATTTAATCAAAAAATAGTAATATATATAACGGAAAGTCAAATTAAATTTTTATGAGCGTTTGAAGTTCTAATTTTTACATCAATAGATTTTTATACTCAAATTCTCATGGAGCGATTTTCTTAATTTTTTTTAATTCAAAAGCGAATAATTGTAGATAATTGAAGTGTACACAATATTTTATGTTTATTTTATGATTTTCATACTTGATAATGTTATCAATATTCTATAGGTCAAAAACTTTGAAAATATAATACAGATGCTTCACACATTGCTCACAGTCCGTAATAACTGTACACAAATAAATTGTATCTATAAGCCATATGTTATCGTAAATCTTCACTTGACGCTTTCAGTGTGAGATTTCCTAACATGTTTTCTACTATAAAAATACAAAAAAATATTTATAAATAACAAAATCCAGAAACTATTGTATTAGATCAATACATTCATCGCTCTGATCAGATTCTAAAATATATTGATTTATGTTATACGCAATTAAAATAAATTGTTTTCATTATTTTAAGTTTGTATGTGTACTTACCACCTCCAAGGCAGTAAATTCATATTAACTATTATTGCAGAAGAGAACGCATTTTGACATTCTTAAGATTACAATATTTAATAATGCTAACAAGCTAAGCTATCATAAGATATTTGTTTTAGAATTAAATTTATTACAGAAATGTGAAATAGTTTTCTTATTTATGAATGATTGTTAATTTGGACGTGGATAGTTGTACTATCATTGTCTATCAATGGCCCATATTTCAATGAAGGCCTTTGATTTAAAAACCATTGTGTGGCGCTCATAAGTAATTGATGCATACATAAAAATATATTTACTTTTCATAATTTATAATTAAAATGTCACGTAGGTCTACAGATTTCTCCTTGTGCATAATATATATGTAACCAACTTATTGTATGTTGAGCAATTTCCAAACCCAATGACACAAATATCACAAATACCTAATTTATTTATTCAAATCGACTAACCTATTATTCCCAATAAGTACGTCATAATTATCAATTTTTGAATAAAGTTGATGTTCATTGTGTGTATAGCTATAAAACTACCAATTGTCCATAACAAAACAATAGATACATACATTTATAAGTAATATTGTAACTAAAAAGTAAAATTTTAATATTTGAATCAATTTAGCATTCCACTGTGTACAGATTATATGGTATATTTAATAATGTAGGTATTTATCAGTCGATCAATTTTTAATTTTTGTTTAACACGTTCACGGACACCTCACTTCTTGATATAATTTATGTATCTACCTCAGAAATTCACTTTTTTATTACTGCTATAGCAGTAATATTTTAATACTAGCTGCTATAGCAGTATTGACCTGATGCATATTTTTTTTATAGTAATTGGTCATTACTGTTATAACAGAAACAGTATAAAATAAATTCAAAACTATATAATAATAACTGAACTTGAGTTTTATTTTAAAAATCAATATCAAACTTAAAAAGTATAAAAAGAAAAAAAATGTATTAAATGATTTCAACTTGATTCATGATACACATTAATTTAAAACATAATATTATTAAATATAAATTAAATAAATAAATAATAATATCATAAGTGAATTTAAACAAATATTTATTTCTCATTGATTATGATTGTGCCATTCTTCAAAATATTTCCCAGGACAAAGAGGTTTACCACAGACTTTACATTGAAATGATGTTTGTTTTCGTATTTTAGTTTTGTAACACTGAATGCAATTTTTAAAGTATATTTGTCTTTTATAATTTTTTGGTACTGGAATTTTTTTTGCATGGTGACTGTTTTCAGGTGCTTGAATTTTCGTTTTTTTAATTTTAAACAGATCTGTTGCTGTAGTTTGCATTGGACGTCCTATTAAATTTTTAATTAGCTGATCACGAAATTGCTTAAAGCATAAATTTGTGTTAAAATGTTTTTTTTGTAAATAAAATATGAATTCCATGTAGTAATGTCTAACATAATATGGTACAATACTTTCTTATACCATCAAGCCGATTTTCTTGGAGATGTGTAATAGCTGACCATTTGATCATTGCGGTCAATGCCACTCATGCAGTTGTTATAGTCCACTTTTTCTGCTGGTTTATTTTTGAGTATGCCGTATTTGTTTTTTGAAGGTATACTTTTTGGATGATTTTTAGTAGTTAAACATAAAACATCGCGTTTATCTTTCCATTTGGATACGTAATCATTTTTGTTGCGTCTTCAAATATGGTCACCACGTTTTAATTTTTTAGTGGTTACTTCCTTTGGGTTTCCTCTGCGATTGGACCTTAGAGTACCAGTTGTATGGGTTTTTTTTCTAATAGAATATTTTATAAAGTGACACTATTATAAAAATTGTCCATGTAAAGGCTGTGCCCTTTATTTAAAAACGGTTTCATAAGGGTTAAGACGATATTGTCAACTTTTGATACTCCCTCCTCAACTGCTGACGATGTTTGTTTGCCTTTGTACATATCGACATTCAAAACGTAACCATCATGAGTACATAGTTCGTAGAATTGTATACCATATTTAGCCTTTTTTCCTTTTATATTGTGTCGCCATACTAATCTACCTCGATGTAATAACAATGACTCGTCCAATGATGATAGATTTTCATCGGGAAAATATGACTTTTGAAAGTTTTGAATTAACATGTCAAATACTGGATAATGTTTTTTCATGGGGCCTACTAATGGATTTGTATCATTTGAATATTCTACACTAAAACATCTACATAATTTCTCAAATCTCCGTCCTGGCTTAATGTGACCAGCAATAGGATGATAATATAATGGGTTATTAGAGAACATATCTCTAACAACCGAAAATTGTATGGAACCTCCAAGCAAACACACTGCCAAAAAATGTTGTACTTCTTCAGAGATTCTTCGCTTAGAATGTTTGTTTTTAGTTCCTTTATTGTGAGGATGACATTGGAGACTCATATTTTCACCATATTTATTAATAGAAGATACAAATATTTCAGTTATTTCGTCGGTCCAAATTTGTTTAAAAATTTCAATTGGATTATCACGAGCACTTTCATTAATTTCTAATTTTATTCCTATCGAATCACTATTAAAACCAAAGTCTGGAATGTCTAAATAACGGTTCACCCATAAATTACTATTATCAACAGGTTCATCATCGCTGCTATCACTTGAGCTTTCGGAAAACGATTCATCGGCTGATGGATCGTCTGCACTTGTTAATTCTAAGCTTTGTGATGGTCCAGCAAAATTAATATTTTTATTATTCTCACCTGGTTGATATTCCGGGTCGGCATCAGAATCATACACATTCGATATGTCTGATTCATCTTCAAAACTTTCATTTAAAAACTCTTCAATAGCTTTTTTAGAACTATTAGCCATTTTTAATTATAACACGGTAAATAATTAACACGAAAATAATGACGTACGCTTTGTCTGGCGTCCAAAATACGACTAAATTGTTATTCCGTAATCGTTTTCCGTCTAAACGTTTCAATAATGATATCATTGTATCATAATATCATATAATTACAAAGCAAACAACATCCATATCAACATAAAAGCAAAAATTCCACCAGAAACTATAAAAATAGAACATATCATATTTGGAATAATATTATTGTGCGATAATGTTACGTGCCAAAAAAAAGAGTATACGTAAATACGTAATGAGTCAATCTTATTTCTAGTTTCGTATAATACCATTAAAAACAGTACCTACTGTATGAGCAGTAATGCCCGATTTCGTTGGTTTTGTAAATAACTGTTATAGCAGTAGTGACCAATTACATAAAAATTGAAAAAAATTGAAATTACTGCTATAATAGCAGTAACTGTCCGTGAACGTGTTTTAATATTGAATATAAATGACAACTTATTAATAGCATAATACTCAATCAAAAATAATAATCAAATATTAAATAATAGCAATATCCTAACAAATTTAAGTTTAGTATGGAGTTAACTAATTTACATAAAATATGCTAAACTGATTTTGGACGATTTTGTTAAAATTATGTTGTCTATAGATATAATTATATGATTGTATTTATAATATAATACCATTAACCGAATAACTTTTAATATTGTTAGGAAGACATCTGGAAGGAGTTCATAATACATTGTTTGATTATAAATGAACGATATTGATGACATTGGTACATACAACAATTGAATAGTGTCATGGCCGATTGCAGAATGTTTGTCAAAAATAAAAACTATTTGAACCACAGTTCTGTTAATAGACTTATATTATTTACATACACAATGGTTAGTACAAATTAATATTTATGAACAAATACATGAATATTTTTCTGAAATTGAAGTATATCGATTTGTCAATAAAATAACTAACAATATTTAATTTAGATTATAACCCAATTTAAAATTATCATTTAAATCATATTATACAATTATAATTAAGTTAATTAAATGTAAATCTAAAATGATAAATGTTTTACTTTCTTTAGGCTATGTTGTTTGCACCACATTGTTGTGTACTGGAAACGGAATCAAGAAATACCAGTTGTGAAAATGAACTGACATGCATCAGATGTACAATGAAAGCTCAGTGTTCATGGATCCTAAGTCAACAGAGATGTGTAGAACACCCTAATTTACCATGTTCGTGGTTTATAGTCAACAGTAAAGAGGAATGTCCACGGTTTTCAGTAGTAACTCATTATGACGATAATGATAAAATCAAAAGTTTGAAATACACTGTTAAAGTATCAAATGATTCAGTAGATTTCATGAATTTTCGAAACGAAAGTAATTTTATTTGCGATTCATTAAAAATAGATAAGAGTGAGATAAAAATCGATGGAATGATGGTATGTTCAACTAGAATTAAATTAAATTACTTCGCTGAGTACATTAGTCAGTTGTTAGCTGCATTCTTATTTTATGTTAAGTTTAATGGCATCACTCTGCAGTTGGACAACTTCGCCGAACCCTATGACAGGGTTTATGAACATAATTGTGTCGATGACAAGAATAACGAAAACTGTGGGACTTGCACGTGGAATGATGATGACTTCACACGCTGCGTTAAATTGTGTTCGTACAAAGACTCCTGTGAGGGTCACAATGAATTGTATATATCGCATGTCGGCGGTGTTAAAAAATTTTGGAATTTTACTTCACAAGAAGTCAATGATAGATGTGCCGAAATAAAAGTGACAGACGTCCATCCGCTATCTGGGACGATGGCCGGTGGCACGACTATAATGATCACCGTCAAGAACCACAGGACATTTGCGAATAACCGAAATGTAACTGTGACAGTGGCAGGAACGGTATGTGCGAACAGTGTGTCTACAAAAAAGACGATTACTTGCATCACAACACCGCCATCCGACGACACGTATGAACCACCATCCGGCCCGGTCTTGGTCACGTACACGTCAAATAATGGCCACGTGTTTAATATCGAGTCATCACAGACATTCCAGTTTTACGTCGGTACTACGTGTGGCGCACCACGTCCAGTGCTTGGCTTGAAGCAAGAACTATATGGCATAGGGTCCGGAGGCACAACAGTAACATTAAAGGGCCTTCGGTTCAACAAACCTTGCGATGCGTTCCCCGCCCGAATGTTTGTAAAGCTGCCAAACGGCACCATGCAGTTCGCGTCCAGTAATTGTGATAAACCTGTTGACGACACACACATAGATTGTCGAGCGCCGCAGTTGAACAGTTCCAATGGTTGGGACATAAACACACCTAACTTCACTCGGGTGCTGAACTTCGGACTAGAAGTGATGAACATCGTCAATAATCAGTCACTGTATGTGAATGGTCCGTTGATCAGTTATTACCACGTATTGGATAACAATCCAGTGCTAGAGAATTTTGAAATAGAATTAGGTGGTTCAGTGGTCGTCTACGGTAACCACTTGCGGTACATACATCCTGCAGACGTCCTGATACGATTCCAAGATGCACTGGTTAAGGATTGCAAAATCACCTCTGCTACAAAACGTAGTTTTGTATGCATGCCAAACACGTCCGTCGTCGTTTCGAAAGAGATGTTTGTCAAGATTGGCGGTTTACTTACGTACAACGTTACCAAACGACCCTACGCTTTTTCCAAAATTATCTGGTATTATATGGTGCCTTGGCTGGTAGTGGTTGTTCTAGCCTTGGCTTGTTTTTATCAAATTAACAATCGGTATAAAATGCATAGAACAGTACATGACCCACCTGTGAATTTGAAAGACCTGGACACACAGACAGCGCTATTATAATGTTAATTATTGTTAATCATAGTGTATTTAAAAACAAAATTAATATTAGTAAGGTAAAAAGCTATAACACATTATATATTTAGTTTATTACATAATATAATTATTTTGTTAGATTTTTCTGCTCCACCATTAATTTAACATATTTCGTAGAATTCCCTATTCAGTATAATTTATATTCACTGTGTTAATGTTTATTAAATATTTCTCTATTATGATTATTTATAAAATGTTGTACATTTTATCTTTAAAATAGTAAAATAATTGTCATGGTGAAAAAAAATATAATAATATTAATGATTACTGTTTAATTACTTAAAACTCTCTATTATTCAAAAAAGGTCTATTTATTGTATCTTCTACACATTTTTTTCATAGATATTAAATCTCAAAATACAAAAAGGATAATTCTTGGATGAAGGGCATGATACCCCCACGTGGGTAAACGGTAAGTATACATATAAGGTTCATTGTATAAAATGCAGAGCATGGACAATTTATACTATTTTATACATAGAATATATCATTATGTGAATATAAGACATATCGTATAGGCATGTAATCTTATAAAGTTTTATGCGATTTAAATATTATTTTTATAATTCTAATATATTATAAAAGGTCAATGAAAAATGTTAAATATGACAAATAAAATTGCTGTTTATAACATAAACAAGTCAAAATAATAAGTTATTTTTTTAAATTTACTAAGTAAAATCTTCTATTGTAAACATTTATATCCTAGGTAAATGTATTCATTTATTTGACTTTTAATGTAATTTTATATATCTCAGGGATTTTTTTTTTTTTAGAGAATAAATTTAGAGAACAATTACATGTTAATTATTTATTATTATTATGTTTTGGTATTTTTCATCAAATGAATAATTAAATTTTACTTACCTATTACAAAATGGTAGGAAAGTGGGTATCGCTCTGATGTACATTAGGTTACAAGTGGATCACTGTAATGAATGGTATTAAATTTGAATTCAATGATATATCATCGTATAAGAAAAACGATTTTGAACGAAGACGGTCAGTAAATTATATTACTATAAGTATATTTGATGATATTATTGTAAATAGAATAATTTATATACTATAACCTATTTAAGTGGAATCTTGTTTTAAATTTTCAATCCTTAGCTATAAAAGTTGAACATTTTATAAATTGTTAACTACAAAATAATTATTAAATTTTAAATTTGATAAATATTGTCAAAATTTAAACTTTAAATGTATATAAAAACATTTGTGCTTATTTTTTGATAATGAATTCCAAATTAAATTCTGCAAACAATTTTAAAATGTATGTTAATATTACTTTAGATTCAAAGAAATATCCTAATCCAATAGGTTTAATAAATAGACTCAAGGAAAAATTCCAAGAACTACCTACCTAAATGAAAATAATTATTCTGATTTTATAAATGGTTTTAAATTTTCAGACTAATACAATACATTATATTCTTTATTTTTATTATGAAAAACACAGAAAAAGTGTACAGTTACAAAGAGAAAACTCTAAAATAATTTGTAAATAAAATAAAATAATATTGAATTATCCAGAGAAAACTTTTTTCGAATTAATAAATAAATTAGATAATGAAAAATATAATGTGTAAGTATTATTCTGTACTAATTTTAATAGTGTTGCATTATAATAATACAATCAATAGTTATTATTTATGAAGAGGAGTTACAACTTTCAATAGGTACTATAAATTAGGTAATGATTTTAAATAGTATTTGAATGATATTTCACTAGACACCAGTACACCACTTATTCTTATAACGAAGGTAAATAAATATATTGTTGCATTATTAAAATACAATCAATACCTAGTTATTATTAAAAAATGTAATTTATAGAATTTTTTTCTAGTTATAAATTGTATCTCGTACATAGTCTAGGTTTGTTTCATTGGATGTTGAAAAATCTGTTTAACTGATCATAGCTGAAAAAACTCAAAACTCAGAATATGATTAGCAAAAATAAACATTATAATATTGTACAATAAAATACATTTTTTTCAGATGAATATCTTTATCCTTGTGTTACATAATAATATTACATTAAAAAAAAAAATAATAAAATGGAGAGCCTTAAACTATTTAAGAAATATAGATCTTTACATATCGAATTATTGGAAATTACACATTTAGATTTAAATACAAAATTAAATAGGTAACTAATAAATTGGATTCATTCAAGATTACACCTAACAAAAATAAGAAAATATTAATTTTATAGATCTAATAATGTTGAATTATTAAATTTAATACTTTTATTACATATTTTTTGAAAATTGTTTTTGTAAACTTTTTGTGCTAAATGTGCTAATTATGAAAAGGTAGTGGTTTGTGACATTATTTTGATAAATTATGAAAATGGTTGCGGTTTGTGATCTTTTTTTAATTTAAATTTATTTTGTGATTCAATAACGAAAATAACATTTTGTGATCTTTTTGTTTTTTATTATAAAAATTAATGATTTGTGATCTTTTTGAGTTAATTATGGAAAAGTAGAAGTATGTGATGTTTTTGTGTTTTATTTATTTTACTAATGATTTTTTGTTTAAAATTAATTTTCTGATCTTTTTGGGTAATGTGTACTGGATTGTCCCATATATTACTATTAAACTCTATATATAAAAATGAATGTATGTCTGTGTGTCCTTTGGTTGCCATTGTTACCATGGGTATTGAAATTATTGTAATAATAATTATTGGTTGCCGGGCAATGAAGTACACGGAATCATTTGGTAAAGAGATAGATTGGACTTCTGGGCAGAAGAGAGACTAATTTAAAAAGAGAGAGGATCAGCCCCAGGAGATGTTCAAACAGGGATTTTGAGATTTCCTATGGACATTTTTGTTTATAAATGGTTTCCATGCGTGTCAAAGCTATGATAATAATAATTATTATTGGTTGCCATTGGTTTAAAATTGCTATTATGGTAACCGTTATATTATAAAATAAAACATATAGGTAATTCATATAGAGCTGGCATTTTTAATGGGCAACGAAGTGCAAGGGATTATATCTAATGATTTTTATCAATATATAAAAAGGTGGGCAAGTGGGTGTCGCTCTGGGTATCCCGTCATTTCGTCGTGGTAATTTCGTCGCACGACAATTTGGACGCATACGACATTTCGTCGCGTGTAATATCGACGCATGCTACATTTGGTCGCACGTCATTTAATCGCATATATTTATATAGGTATATAGCTAGTATTAGATAAAATAGATTACCTTGTCTTTTTGGGTAGGAACATTTAATAATATAATATATATATAATAATTCTATAGTATCTTTATAATTTAGTGGTAGTGGTGTAGTACCTTCTTTATCATTTATTTTTATTTCAGTAGGTAATTCATTATTTAGTTTTTACCTGAGTCTTTATCGAATATTCGAATTATTACAGTGTACCTACTCATCAGTCATCACGAGTCTCTACTCTCTACCGATTATAGTGTTATACAGTACCACCTATACACGTCTTTCACTTAAGTCAAGCGGTTTGGAGACAAATACAACACCATGGTCTTGCAAAACAATACAGTGACGATGTACAATTTTCTTTAGAAGTACGAAAATTAGCTGCACTTGCATTTGTACCCGTCGATAAAGTGATAGAATCTTTTGAATTATTATTAGAAAGCACATATTATATTGAAAATGAACAAATGTTATCACCACTAATAAGTAATAACATATTTTGAAGGCGCGTGGATTGGCATTTTGGATAGGAGAGGTAATCGTCGACCTCCATTATTTTCCATTGACATCTGGAACTGTTATGATAGGTTACAAGAAAGTTTACCCAGGACTAACAATAAAATAGAAGTCTGGCATAATGGGTTTTCAGCAATGATAAGTCATACACGACCAATTATATATATGGAAATTTATTGAGTCAATAAAAAAAGAAGAAAGTTTAAATAAAATGATAATAGCAATGTAAAAAAAAAAAATATAAGAAAATATTAGATTAATGCAGATATGTAAAAATGTTAATTATAATCCAATATGCGAGGTTTCGAAAGGTATTGCTCATAATTTTAATTTTTATAAATAGTAAATTATTTTTATTTTTGTGTTTTTTTTTTAAATATTTTATTTAGATTATTATTAATATTTTTTTTTTTTATTGAACATTATAGCTTGGACAGCATAAGATTTTAAGATTTATACTAATACAATAATACATATATATTTTTGAGGTGAAAAAATACAAATATATATAACAATAAGCTAAAATGACTGATATGTACAATTATTATTATTATTTAGAATATACCTATATGCGATAAAATGACGAGCGACCAAATGTAGCATGCGTCGATATTACACGCGACGAAATGTCGTATGCGTCCAATTGTCTTGCGACCAATCGACCGCGACGAAATGACGTAAATCCGTCGCTCTGATGTACAGTAGCTTACAATCTGTTCACTGTAATGGATAGTGTTCAATTTGAATTCAATGATATAATATCATTGTATAAGAAAAACGATTCTGAGCGAAGACGGTCAATAAATTATATTACTAAGTATAATATACAGATGATAATAATATTATTATTGTGAAAAAAGTAATTTATAATATATAATCTAAATTAAAAAACCTTGTTTTAAATTTTCAATCCTTAGCTACACAAATTGAGCATTTTATAAATGTTTACTACAAAATAATTAATTAATTTTAAATTTGATGAATTTTGTCAAAAATCGAACTTTAAATGCTTATGAAAATACTTAATAATATCATAGGCTTACTGACCATCTTCGCTCAGAATCGTTTTTCTTATATAATGATATTATATTATTGAATTCAAATTTAACACCATCCATTACAGTGACCACTTGTAACTTACTGTACAGCAGAGTGACACCCACTTGCCCACCTTTTTATATCTTGAAAGAAATCATTTATTTTTATTTCTATTATTAATAGTAATATGGGACACTGAAGTACACATTACACAAAAAGATCAGAAAATGTATTTTAAACACAAAAACATCACAAAGCACTAACTTTTTCATAATTGTAGGATAGGTTTGTTAGTCTAATTAGTCAGGATTCTAATTATTTAACGATTTTTCATCTTCTATGGATTTTGAATGAATTATACTTAATCTTTCATCCATAGGTAATCCCTTCTCTGATTTTTCCTTTTCTTTTAGATAATGTTGTTCGAAGTCGTCCCATGGTTGTAACTCACCGGATCCAAATAGCCCATATAACACAGATGATGATGTCATTACTATCATCATAATCCAAAATACAAGCCGCCACTCTAAAACCGTCCTCTAAAAAAAAAAAAAAAATTTAATACACTATTCGACACTTAGTTACATAAAACATTTGGGTATAATCAATACTATAATATTAATGCTACAGTATATGTTACTCATGCGATATTTTTTAATGTTAGTGGTTTCGTAGGGGTACAATGACATTCTAATACTATTTATTTTATTACACCATTACATTTTTTGTATTTAAAAATCATAATTTTTAAAAACTTAATATACTTTCTATTTAATAATCACGTTTAAAATATAATAAAGTGTATCTATTAGTAGGTCGATTGAATTCAAATACATGGTCTCAAAGAGAACATTTCGTTCAACATCAAACTTATCACGTAACCATATGCCTAACCTTTTGTTCATACCGATTAGAACAATAATCTGAAATAAATTATGAATCAATTTTTTTAGTTTTATGTCAAACCGAACATAAAACTTTTTGGTTTGAAATATTTGACGTGTTGGATTTTTTTTTGAGCTTCAGAATAATTATATAATTTCAAACTCATTGGTCTATAATAGTTCGAATCACTTTTTTTTTTACTTTTCTTTTGACTTATGAACTTGAACCAAACACCAAAAGTTTTGTTTGATTTTGTGACAGTTCGACGCGCCTCTAGCATATATTTATATAACTTAATAAAACAACTGGGACATAAACACTCGACGAGGTTCATCAAAAATGTGTGTACAGTTTGGTCCAAATAGTAAACAAAAACAGTCTCCAAAACCCATCCTAACTTACATAGAGAGAACGAAGAACTCATACTTGGCAAAATTGTTGTAAGTAGTCAACTTCAACAAATATAGTATATTGTTAGTAGTTATTCACTGAATAGCAGCAGCCGACAATTTCATGACTCCTAATTTGGCCCTTCCAAAATATTGATTTGTAACCCCTAGTAAATTTACTATAAACTTACATTTGGTGTGAGAATTCCAGCGATATATGGAGTAGCCATTCCTGATAAACAACCAATACCGTTGACTAATGCCATTATAGTAGAAGAATAATTGGGTGACAAGTCGAGTGAATTGACACGGATGCTGGGATAACAGAATCCCATTAGTGCCATACCCAAAGTAAAACATAGAGTTGCTATCATTTTGTCACATCCGACAAACGAAGCACACATTACACCAATACCAGGCCCGACATTTCCTGAAATCGTAATATTATTTGTCAGTTACCAGCATTTTTAAGAGTGATGTTTTCACAATAAACATCACCTATAATGGCGAAAATTTTTCTGACCGCAGTGACACTCATTATTCGCTTGCTTATCAGCCAGTCAGCCAAAATACTAGCTAAAATCGACGTAACCCATTGGGCGATGAATGGGAAGGACGATAATAAACCGTTCTATAAAGGAAATCGTTTTTAATATTACTAATGTCTACATATATTTTGTACACTGTAAACTACCAGAATCTCAAATTATGACTAGACTTACTTCACTAATGGAAAAATGTAAGACGTCACTCATATATTTAGGGAGATCACTGATAATCGTAAAAGCACCCCAGTCATGTCCTACTTCAATAAAAATCAGTGCCCATATTTGCCATGACGTTAATATGGATTTCCATGGCGTAGGGGGCAAATCCTGTTATAACCAATTAAAATATTAAATTATGATTTTTTTAGTCACTTACTGATGGAAAATATCGTTTGGTTTCAATGACCGTTCATTATGAATTCTCACGTACCTTTTTTCTTTCTAGGCTTCCGATTGACTGTTTTAAATAGTCACGCTCCATGTCTGATATGAACGGATGGGATTTTGGGTCGTTGTAAACGAACATGCACCAGAGCACAAACCAAATCAACGAGGTAATGCCGAAAAAGTAAAAGACGTTCGGCCAACCGCCGGGTATGTATTGTATGATGAAACCACTCAAGAAGTTTGAGAAAATATTACCTATTTGCGCTCCTGTTGAAAACATAAAGGTAACATTATTATTATCATAATATGTTATAAATATGTATTGTGAATACCTACATCATAAATAGTTCACGATTTCTGGTCTACAAACATGTTATTTATATTTATAAATATTAAACGTACATAAGCTGTAAGTTTAAGATTCTGAGCGGATTTTTTTTTTTTTTTTTATAATATTCTTCTTTCTACATGATAAGCAATCGAAATATAATGCTCCCATTTTCAAACTAAGTATCTTTCCTGGTTAGTGATCTAGTTAGTGCATTAGAGAGGTCAAAATTACAAATTATCAACAGTTTTTAAAAACTTCGAGAAAAAGAAAAAAAATTAACCATATATATTTAACATTTTCAATAATTTTATATGTTATCATTTTTTGTACATAATAGGTAGGTACAACTTTCAAAATATTTTGCTGTTTTTACACATTTTCATTTTCAATTTTTTTTTCTTATAAATTCCAATAAAAATTTGTTGTTGGACCAAAAAGCTTGAACATTTATTACAAGGTCCATCATAAGTTGTTATTTTAGCAGTTCAAAAAATACATTTATGATACGTAGTCACAATTATTTTTTATAAGAATAATTTAAAGTTCAAATTTGGACAAGATATATTAAAATCTCGAAAATTTGCAAAATTATTTTGTAAGGTTAATTAAAAATGTATAATATGCTAATTTTTTGTATCTAAGAATTGTATAATATATACTATATATATATATTTATCTAAGAATTGAAAATATAGAATATGGTTTCTCTTAAGCAGTTCATACTGTATCAACAAATTTAAAATGTACAGTTTTTTATATGGATATTTGAGTTCAAATTTTGACGAAATTAGATATTAAACAAACGATTATGTTACGATTACATTATAAAAATCTAATCCTAGTGAGAAATTTGAGACTGGTTTCACTTCAATAATATATTTTAACTTATTATCGAATGACATTCCGCGGCACACTCGTGGATGCCTCACGGCACACCAAAACGCCGGTTAGGAAATGCAGGTTTTACAGAACATCTTAGCTCAGAATTGTATTTAATATACAATGATTTTATATCATTAAATTCTAACCAAACATACCCATTACAGTAACCATTTAAGACACTTTCTGTACGCTAAAGTAGATCCATCTTTCTTATATAATATAACTATCTGATCCCATGCACTTCGTTCCCGTTTCCGTTAAATGTACCAACTCTAAATGACTCAAACTTGATGTTCAAAACTTATCTTAACTTTTCGTTGCCCGTAAAAAAATTCTGATTGTTCAACTCTTTTTTGGTGTAACACACTGTGGAAGCAATAACTTTTCAAGTGTAAATTGTATTATATTTTAATATATAGACATCTCCACCGGCGTTGTCCATAAGAATCGCCACAGTTATTATGAGGTAGGCAATCTACCTGTGGTAGATCGCGGACCCCGTGCTGTTTGTACGTAAGTATATAATTTAACTCTAAAGTATCAAAGTTACACCAAGTTGGTCGTTTTTACTTATTAATTCAACCTACGGTGGATTAATATAATCAATTAATACAAAACCCTAACCTAACCTAACCGTAGTAAAATCCAATGAATAAAAAAAACAAACATTCGTATTCATAGATAAAGAATAAAAATAAAAAGGATTAACAAAAAAAAAAACATTGGAAAAACAATGGAAAAATTTGGTCCATTAAAACCGTGGTTCGAACTTGAGACATTCTGTACTAAAATACATAGAAGTACCATTGCGCCAACATGCTTATCGAACGAATAATAATTGTTATTATTAAAACCAATAGCAACCATTTACAAACAAAAATTTCCATCGTAAATTTCATAATCCCTATTTGTGAACTTCCCCGGGTTGAAATTTACCCTTTTTAAATTAGTCTATTATATCTTCTTCCTAGAGGTCTAATCTATCTCTGTGCCAAATTTCATCCCAATCTGTCCGGCCGTTTAGGATTGCATAAAGGACACACACGACACACATACACAAATATCCATTTTTATATAGGTATATAGATTGACAACAAATAATAATACAACAAACATGCCTGATTAACCAATAACAACTAATATAATATAATACACTATAATAATTTTGTTCTGCAACAATAAACCAAGTTTTTTATTATTTAGTTTATTTTTTTCTAAACAGATGGCGTCGATGTTGTATTTTCGACATCCAGATTTCCTACTTTTTCTAAAATTGTCTTTCATATTATGAACCTTTTCTTGATAATTACGAACACGACAAAAAAAAAAAAAAAGAGAAATCGGTCCAGCCGTTCACCCTTACAGATTCCAGGACGAAAAAGGATTCATTTTTATTTATTTATATTATAAGTATTATAATTTATATAATATATATAATATTATGTTACCTGCAAACACTACTGTAGAGAGTTTTCCCTTTTCTTCAGGCGGGGCCCACTGTGCCAGGAGCGTGTAGAGAGCCGGGTAAGTAGTTCCCTTTATAATAAAAAATGTTAAGTTAAACTCAAGTTGTATTAAAATCGTATGTAGTGTCAATCGCCATCTTTACCTCTCCGAGTCCTTCGACGAACCGAAGAATTGTCAGTGGCTTCGGACCCATGTTCGATACGTATGGAGTCATCAACGTGAAGATTGCGGTGGATAGTATTCCTATTCCCATCGTGTGCTTGCCACCGAACCTCTGGGATAATACTCCACCGGGTAGGTGGGTGAGTATGTAACCATAGTAGAACGACGACAGGATCTCACCTTGCGTCTTCTCGTCCCAATCGAACCTATGTTGGAACTCGTCCTCCACTGTTTCTGTCCTGTTGGACTTTGGGTGACCCCGCGATGACGACTTTTGCATTGGACAGTAGTCGTGCCGGACGGATTTCACACCTCCATCCACAACCACCACGGGCTTGACCATTTGCGTGAGGGTAATGCCCAAGCAGGCCCGCATCACGTACGCCATTGTGACGCCCATCATCCCCATCACAGCCATCACCCACCTCTGAGACACGTGTCCTGTAGAGAATAAATGATTTTAACCACCGGTCGTCAGTATGACAATCTCGATACCAAAAATTTTTTTTTACAACCTTAATCGTGAGTTTTAAACGGAATATTACAAAATATATTAATAGATAAAATAATAGTTTGTGTCCCATGACACTTATATGACGTCCAACAATAAGATCAACGAGTGATTGGGAGATGTGTATTTTATTATTATAGGTACCTACTGGGTGTGCTATAATAAATGGAAGTATTCAGATCAGACGTTACTCGATGACGAAATACGGGTTTGATGTTCAAAAATTATTTTTGGTACATTATTGTTTTTAACATTTTGTTTTTACTTTTATTTTTAATAAATTTAAATATAGCGTAAGTGCAACAATAATAAATAACAGCATTTTAATCTTACCTATCTAGATGTTATATTTTATCTAAACAATATATGTGTTCATTTTATAATATATGTCTATTATTAATTATTATTAATATAAGAAATGCACAGAGATTAATATTGTAATACGGTTTATAAGACAATTCTTAAAATGACTCTGTATTTGAAGGGTTATAACCAAACGAAAAATACAACCTATGTGCCTAATGTTTAAGTACATTATTAAATTGCCATAATGATGACATTACTGTAAATGCATTAATTAAAATTTTGGTTTAACGAGAGAAAAAATCAATCTAGGTGATTATGGGCATTATAAAATTGTTTACTGTATGAACAACGTTTACGACCCGGAAAACGTCCACTTGGGTTCTACAGATTAGTATACCGAGTAGGTATATCTAAATAAATATAACACGATTAATAAGACGATAAAAATAAATATGCATATAATAATATTGTAATTAATAATATGTTCCCGCGGAATATAACGAATACGTTAACTACTGTGGTAGCTGTTGAACAAAACGCAATCTATTTCGTCTAAGCACTATTAACTCCTCGGATCAAGAAACAACATAATATTATTATTATGTGATTAGTGCCGAGTAAGTGGTTGATTAAGACTTAATCATTTTATTGCAATCTAATAGACTTAACAAAATATTAATTATCATTGGATTTCTGTTTTGAGTCGAATGGGGGGGGGGGGGGCATCGTGTTATAATAAATTGGTATGTATAAATATTTTAAGCATATAATTAAAATTAAAATATTGCATGTTCTATATTATACTATAGGTAATAGGTAAATTATAGTTTTTAATATTTTCTTTTTACTTTTTATTAATATATTAAAATATTGCGTCAGTGCACCAATAATATATGACAGAATTTTAATCTTATATCTGGATATTATTTTATAATCTAAACATAATATGTGTTAATTGTATAACTTTTCTATAATTATTAATATAAAAAAGGTGGACAAGTGGGTACCACTCTGCTGTGCAGTAGTTGTAATGTATGTGTTATATTTGAATACAATGATAAACCATTATATACGAAAAACGATTCTGAGCGGTTAGCGTAGTCCTCATAATATTATTATTTTTTATCCATTGCTATGGTGAGAAACAAATCATTAGAAATTAAAATTTCATTTTTAGCGGTTTTTCGTAATTCGTCGGTAGTTTTTCTCGGTGCTTTCTAAATCTACTTGGAATTTTTCAATTTTGACCTCCTAAAAGTACCAACTAAGTTCACTTTTCTATCAGAAAAGATGCTGATCTCAAAAATCGAAACATGCTTATTATCTGAAATGTGGCTGACAGACAAAAAAACCACACATCATTGTAAAACCAATGCATTCTTTCGCTCCGCTCGGAATCTAAAAGGTGGACAAGTGGGGTTGTCACTCTGCTGTACAGTAAGTAATACTGAGAGAAATGGATGGTGTTAAATTTGAATCCCATGATATATTATCATTGTATACGGAAAACGATTCTGAGTGGAAATGGTTTGTCAGCCTACCTAGGATTTTTCATATTATATTTATGTTGTTACTATTAATACGGTAGCTGATTAAATTTAATCATACCTACTGGTTCCGGTTCGGTTCTTAAAAATGAACATTCTTATTATGTTGCAAATAAAAAATGCAACCCGAATGTTTGCAAGTCAATCATTGTCGGGCGACGGGCATATATACGACTAATTTGAGTTAATAACACAAAATATCAGTTATATAAAAAAAAATATTTCAATGAAAAATAACTATTTGTTTACATATCAAAACCCAATTTAAATAAAATGTTCAATTATTTCTTAGAAACGATAAACATCTAAAAGAACAGGAAAACGTATCTTTTATTAAAATGGGTTCCGGTTCTAATTCCAGTTCTAAGCATTGTAAAATATAGATTCCAACCAATAGGTCCCAGCTCTTAGATTTTCTCCAGGAACTGGTTCTTTTGGTTCCGGATCCAGTTCCTGAATTTTTTTTAAAGAACATAGTTTTTAAAAGGTTTTAACAAAAGAAAAATACTACCTATGTACCTAGGACCTAGGTGTCTATAATGTTTATATACATTATTAAATTGCGTACAATATCGATAAAATTACTGTAAATGCATTAATTTATATTTATTCTATGTTATAAAATAAAACACAACATTTTATCATGCGATAGAAACCTAAACGTTTACTTACGTGAATTCAATTTCATAGTGGTAGGTAATTAATAGTAACTTTGGTTATACGTGAGAATTAATGACTTTAAACGGAATTTTTTGAAAATCACCGCCGAGACTAGAACGAAAAACGTCTATGAACCGGAAAACGTCCAAATAGGTTCTACGGAGTAGTATTTCGTATAAATAATACCATTAGAGTAAAATATGCAACACGTTTAAAACGATAAAAAAACAATAATAAATATACGTATAATAATATATTAAATATTATAATGTTCTCGCGGAATATTACGAAATTTGTCGACTGCTGTAGTAGCAGTTAAACCAAATGCAACATCTTCAAACGCGAACTATTCTGTCCGACCACTGTTCACTCCTCGGATTAAAAACAACATGATAACGTGATATGTGATATATATATATATATATGTTTATATGATCTATGACGAGTGAGTGGGTGATTAAGAAGTGCAATCCTTTTATTATAATCTGATAGACTTATCACAATATTTATCATTGGATTTTTGTTATTGTGATGAACGGTAGACCATTATGTTCTTGTTTGTGTATGAAATATATTTTAAGCATATGCCATATGTAATATAATGTGTATGGTATTATTAATTATTACGTTTATTGATTGTTTTCGAACTGTTGTACGAAACGAATAACACACGTCCCGCGATCTTTAAACTAGTATTACCTATGTCATATATATATTGTTAATTATAATATAATATGCGATCCGTGTTAGGCAATTTAACTGTACTTGGAGTAATTACCAAACACTGATGAGTATAAACTAGCCCCACACAGGATAGGGTTGGCCCGGCAAGTTACAGATAGTATAACACTCTGTGGGCCATGACAATTTTGGGCCGTTCAAGTCACGAGAAGGGGCTGCTGACTAAAAATATGTTAAGAGTTAAAAGTTGAAGAAATGGAGACTATAGAGAAAAAAACTATGCACGAAATAAGAACGTACCCAAGAGCCACCAGTTTGTAAGGGGACCCATAAAGTACTGAAAAATCGATGGTCTGAATATGTCCAATCCGGCCCTGGGCCAACACACAAACACTCGTACAATCCACGTCTATAAGATATATCACACAGACACGTATGGGTTCAATTAATTTTGTTCACGTGTGTTTGTGTGTGCTCGTAAAGTTCCAACATTAATCAATAGATAGGTAAGTATGTATATTTATTATTTACTGTGAGTTATGACTGTTGGGAATATTACGACTTTTGGATTCTTGTCAAGGTCTTTGATTGTTTCTTATCACGAAGTCATTAGCCAATTACTACAGTTTTAAAGTTGGTGTTATACCATTTTTTTATAGGCAGTTCGTCTTATCATATTATTATGAGATTAACGATGCATGGTCGAAAGAATACAGACACAGATTACAAAAGTTAATTACTTACTTCCATATCAAGCAGGTCAGTCGACCTGCAAGCCAAACTTGAAAACAGAATGAATGCTAACCTAATCTGTAATGAAAGAGCAATAATGGCCGACCGCACAATATTTTTTAAACTTTGCTCAACTTTATGTGGTTAAGTGGCATTTTGGTGTCCGGGGGCAATATATATATTATACAGATTTCTATAACAGAGTATTTTTTTGGCCGTTCTTAGATGACAATATCTTTTATGCATATGTCTTATATTATAATAGGTATTATATTAGGTATATGTAAATTATTGTGGAAAGTTGACCTATAACTATAATATCAAAACATGTCATCTATTATATTTTTAATTTAAAATTACTTATATGAGACTGTACACTAGGTATAGGTACATAATATTATATTGATGTAGTATTGTTAGCTTAAGTGCCTTAAGATAACTATGAGCAAGTAGGCTAACGTTGCAACTATGTTATAACTTATAACTTATATATGTATAACTTGAAAATATGAAACCATAAAAAAAACAATACATCTGCATTGTGATATGCAAAATATAAATATTTTCGATGTTAAACGTCTTGTATACTTAAGATAAAAATTAAAACCAGGGTCGTGACTTATTTAATTTTTATATTTGTTCTTAGCTTGTGCACTATACTACTATAGTACTATACTACCTATAGATACGCTTAAGTGAGTTGTAAATTTGTTTCAGATTAAAATGAAGTAAAAAACGATAATACGTATGTTGGGTTAACGCTAATGATTTGTATCCATTATACCTATAATTTATAACAGTTATGTCTCTGTGCCATCCGCCCATCCATACCACCAAGTGACGCCATAGTCTGGACATGACGTGTTTGAAATAAGTCGATTCTAAAATCGTAGTTAATGAAAATTATAATCAAATTCGTGCTAAATTCTATAAGTGTTTGTGAATGCTTAATGTAAACTATTTAAATAAGAATACATAAGCGTGTACTTCGTTACAAGGATTAACGTATGAATAGTATTATAAAACACGTGTTTTATGATGCATAATGACATCTTAATAAACTTATAATCACCGTCATTTCGTTTTCATAACGCGATAATTTCCAATTTTTATTTTATAGGTTGATTTTGGTAAACAAACTGCTTTATATTGTAATAAAAAGCAGTTATATTGCTTGTTCTATTGTTTATATTGTTTTAAATATATTGCATCTTATAACTTTTAAGTAAAACTCTCCTTCCAACATGTTGTTATACTCACAGTCATGTAGGTATAAAATGGTTGTAGATACAACAAAATTATATGTTTTTTTTATTGTATATATGTGACTATATTGGTCCAGCATGTATAAATAATACAATTTTATTATTATAAAAAAAGGTGGGCCAATGGGTGTCGCTCTGCTATACAGAAGGTTACAAGTGGGTCACTGTAATGGATGGTGTTAAATTTGAATTCAATGATATAATATCATTGTATAAGAAAAACGATTCTGAGCGAAATCGGTCAGTCAGTCTATGCAGTGGAGTATCCAGGGGGGAGGGGTCAATTAAAATTGTTAAATTATAACAACGTTATCACTAATAAATCATTTTCAGATAAAATTCAACAAAAATAAATTATAAACCCTACCGAAAAAAATTCTGGATATGCTACAGAGTCTATATGATATTACTAAGTATATTTGATGATATTATAGTGAATAAAGTAATAATTTATATACCTATTTATGTGGAATCTTGTTTTAAATTTTCAATCCTTAGGTATAAAAGTTGAACATTTTATAAATTTTTAACTACAAAATAATAATTCAATTTTAAATTTGATAAATTTTGTCAAAATTCGATCATTAAATGCTTATAAAAAAAAAATTGTGCCTATATGTAATTTCAATATTTTTCAACTGCTATTGTAACAATATATCAGGAGCCTTGCATTAAATTTTCAAGCTTTTTTAAATAACAAATAAAACTTTATTAATACTTATAGAAAAAAAAAACATAGTATGTATTTTAAAAACCTCACATTAAAGTGTAATAATTATTGTCTTTATAATAATAGAAAGCGAATATACACTACCAATATTAAGTTTTTAAATTACAGCACAGTTTGTTCGTATAGGTCCTGGGAACTTCTGAATGACTGGGAGGTTAATAATATTTTCCCGTCACGTAAACCCAATTTTTGTTTCTTAGGCAACAAGCCAAAGCTGAGATAAATAGCAGCACCGTATAGACATGACAATCACTGTAATGAACCAGCCAGGAAATTCGGAAGCATCGCCAAGATGAGGCAAAGTTATCTCGATCACAGTGAACTCCAAAGAATTGCCCAATGTGACGGAGATCACTTGAACCTCACTGATTATATATGATTGTGAACCTCACATATTCGACTCACACACCAAACTGTCTTATATCACCGACACGAATATGCAAACTGAGGATGGTGAATAAACGGCCCGTATCACAATATTATTTGGCTGTAAATCCTGCAAATGAAGGCCGTTGACGACAGTGCCGTAGACAGGAATTTTATATGGGGGGGGGGGGGTTTATTATAATAATAACATGTTATAGTAAATTAAGAAAAAATAACACATTATTTATATTTTTATATCTTAATTTTATTTTTATATCATTATTTTAGTTTCTTATAAGTTATAATATCAGATCTATTTTTCTTTTAGATTCTGAGTGAAAAGATGAATGTATTGATTTTACAATGATGTGTGTTTTTTTTTTTTTTTTTGTTTTTTTTTGTGTCTGTCATCACGTTTTAGGACAGTAAAAGTGCTTGGATTTTCTTCTACAGTAGCTTTTCTGTAGCATTTATATAATATTTGCTTCGTTATTAAATACTAATGAGGAAATAGTGATAATGTGATATATATATCTGCAGAAGTTACCATTACCAGTGTTAGGCATTATCAAGATACGTTTTCGTATATTTTATCTCATCTAGATAGTTTTTAAATGATTTATCTATTATCTTATCTAGATAATAAAAACGATATTTTTTTTAAATAATCTAGATAATTATATACTCTATATTGTCTATTTTTTTACCTCCAAATTATATTTGTGTTAAAAATTATCATTTTTTTCATTGGCTCCAAAGTTATAGTAGATACTTGATTTTAAATTGGGATTTGTGAGTTAAATTAAACGCAATAACTAATATAAAACACAGTATTGTAGTATTTCAAAATTGTAAATTCTTTTTAATAGTTTATATTTACAAATATAAATTTATAAATAACAGTTAATGAAGTGAGACAATAAAGTCTGTGAAGTGTAACATTAAAAGTAAATTGTAGTCCTTTCTGTTCACATTTTTATTTAACTAAATGTACCATAGTACCAATCTGTTGACTGTATATATGTAAAATAAAATATCAATGTAAATTTATTATATTTTTTTTTTTATAATTATTAGCTATTAGCTAAAGTTTTTTTTTATAAATTATTTAAGTATTATTTTGATAATTTTTTCTTGAAATTATCTATTATCAAGATTATTTTATTTGAATTAATCTATTATCTCATCTAGATAATTATATCGAAAAATATCTATTATCTTATCTAGATAATTATTTGATTATCTATGGCTAAC